AAGTTTACAGGAGCCGAGAGGAGGAAACTAGAGGTTTACAGGAGCCGAGAGGAGGAAAACTAGAAAAGTTTACAGGAGCCGAGAGGAGGAAACTAGAGAAGTTTACAGGAGCAGCCAAGGAGGAGGGGAACAGCGTTAACATTTCACTGTACAGACCTGGAGGATCAAACAGCTGGTAAATGAATCCAGATGTAGGCTTTAAGATTTACTTCACATTCATAAATATTTTTGCAGAAGAAAATATCTCGTCTCCAGATGTTTTCCCTTGCTGTGCATTCATGGCACTTTGCACATTTTTACCTTTACGTTGTTGATGTTTTAGTGCAAACTGCAGTGTGACTGTAAATGGAGAATGTGTACCAGTAGAGACGAGCAGCACAATGAAAGCACTTCTTTTTGTTAAGGTAACTGTAGGCTGCACAACAACAACTAATCAGAAGAGAATGACCCTGAATGAGAGCTTCAGGTTGTTTCAGCTCCCACATGAGCTGAGAGAAGTTCCCAGCCTCACTGTGGTGCAGGAGGAGACCTTGGAGGCCATGCTTCCAGCTGTCATAAAAGAAAAAAATCAAATAACTAACAGTTAACAGATAATCTAAGATGGTTGAAGACCCAAGTAGATTGCTGCTGTCCCAAATTACTTGTGTTTAAAAAATGTTTTTAACGTTTATGAAAATAATTTCATATACATTTTTTTACTGCCATTACTTACTGACAATGGCTTCTGTGATTAGTTACAAGTAAAACCAGTGGTGGGCAGAGTCACCTGTCATCACTGCTGCAGTCTGGAGTAGGAATGTGCGATATAAACGGTATACGATAGAAACTATAGAAATTTAGCCTACGATAGAGATCTGTCATCTACCGTCTAAACGCAGTAATGCTGTGTCTGAAGTAAAATCAGAGTTGTCAGTTTAATCGTTACTTTTTTTTTTTAGCTGAAAACTGTGCAGAAGTGGTGTTAAAGTCTTTTCTTCGAGAGATAAGTAGCGAAGCTACAAGCTAACTACAGCCGCCTTGCCGTAGTGTTGCCGTATTCTGACGCATGCGCAAAACGCTGTGTTCCGTCAAAAGTTTTGTTGTTTTTTTTCCATCGAAAGTTAAAGTAAGCGTTGGTCAGCTTTAGAGAAACCTGCTCTCTGATCTGTGAAAAGAACGCTGTGTTGTGTGATTTTACTGCGAGACCCTCTGGTCAAAGCCACAGTCATTTTGTGTCAGCTCTCCATTAAAGCTGAAGTAGTCGCCAACTAGAGGTTTGGAGGGTGAAGTGTTTCAGTCAAATGCTGCTCTGTTGCTGTTCATTTATTAAGTAAGACTGGAAACTGTTAACAACATATTATTTTGTTTAAAACATATGGCTAAAACTACATTTTATATATTTTGCACTGTTTTGCACTACAAGCAAGAAGCCTAATACTTGATTTGTTTATTATTTTAAAAACTCTTGACCTAGTAGTGGAATTTTCTTAATTCAAATTATATGATAGCAAAAGGACACCCTATGCTTTTTGAAAAATTCCTATCAAGTTTTATACCCAAAACATATTGATATATATCGTTATCGCCACCCTTCACAAAACATATTGCGATATGAATTTTATACCATTTCGCACATTCCTAGTCGGGAGCAGAAAAATTAAAACCGTTTTGTCTTGATGACAACATAGTGCAAACACTGATGGTGTGAAGGTCTAAATTAGTAAGAGTTTACTAATGTGCAAACTACTTGAACATAGTGTGCAGAGAGAGAGAGCACAGGAGTGTGTTGCATTCTGATTGTTAGAAGTTGAAACCAAGTGCAGGCAGATAGTGATGGTAGTATGAAACAAAAGCTTCAAAACATGCTTCGAACCCTGAAGTAAAATTACATCTGAGCACTGATTTGGAGCATGTTTTGGTGCGGAAGAAGTCACGTGACATGTGATGTCCGAAACACAAACTGTTTCTTTGTCAGAATGACTCACTTGACTGGTTCGCGGTCCAATCAGCTGATTCCCTGGCACCGCCTCGTCTCGATTATGACAGGTGACAGGTTGAGACAGTTTTGAATCCAGAGTGCTTAACACATTAAAACAGCTCTAAAACGTTCGCAGTGTGTTGGAGAGTAGGAGTGTTTTTGCTGTTGTGTTGTTGATTTAGTTGAAATAGAGTCATTATAGAGGCAGCCAGGAAAAGAGGTCGTTCTAACATGTGGGAACACTTCATTCTGCTCATGATAAGGTGGTTTTGGCATTTAAATGTCAAAAAAAGTTATAGTATGTTCAGCAGTGAAGATATTATCTAACCCATTCATCCATCCATTTTCTTTACCCGTTTATTCAATTTTGGGTCACGGGGGTCGCTGGTGCCCATGTCCAGCAATCACTGTGCGAGGGGCAGGGTACACCCTGGACGGGTCTCCAGTCCATCACAGGGACACACAGAGACAAACGAGACAAACAACCATTCACTCTCTCACTCACACCTAGGGACAATTTAGAATTACCAATCAGCCTAACATGCATGTTTTTGGACTGTGGGAGGAAACCGGAGTACCCAGAGAAAACCCACACATGCACGGAGAGAACATGCAAACTCCACCCAGAAAGGCCCCTGGACCGGGGTTTGAACCAAGGTCCTGCTCGCTGAGAGGCAGCAGCTCTACCAGTTGCGCCACCGTGCTGCCCTATTATCTAACCCATTTAATAATAATAATAATTTTATTAAATGGTACCTAATCTTTGCACCATTTTTTTACAGGATTTTTGTCTTTGTCATTTCATTGTTATTTTTAAGAATGATAAAGACTTTTGACTCTGCCACAGTTACACAAGCACAATACCACTGCAACATTTTTATTAAATCTCTTCAATGCACATTTATCAATCTTTATTAGAAAACATGTAAGCATAAATACATTTTCAAACCAGATAACATAGAAAGTTCATGATTACAAAAACAATCTGTTTTTTACCACAGTAAAGTAGTTTCTTTAACACTAGTCTAGAACAGAAGTTCTTCTGTGTGTGCCACCAAAATCATAACGCCTAATTTGACAGCAGCATTGCAAAATGCCACAAGAGGTCAATGTAACTGAAGCTTCAACAAATGAACCTATTTTTGAAACATTTGGCCCATCTGGTTCAATGCTTCATAAAAGCTTCATTTGCTCATCACTACAGGCACACCACGAAGACTCTGAGATTTATAGTGAGGGATCATTTGTTAGAGAAAACAAAAGGCTGACAGAGCAGCAAACCTACACGATGCTGGGAACATGGAGCTGACAGGGAAATGCCCAGACAACGAGGAACACAGAGACGTACACTTGTCTGCAAATGCTAACGAGGGGATAAACAGAAACACCTGGGGAAGACAACAGGTGGAAGCAGGAACTGATTGAACGAGGGAGAAAAACTAGGACATACCACAAGGGGGAGACACACAAGGGAATGCAGTCCTCACAGAGTGAAGCACATGAATGAGTTGAGGAGAACCAGATGTAAAATGTTGGATTTCTAACAGCAAATATCAGCTAAAGAAACTGCAGTACATGCTACAACCCTTCAAGCAGCTGCTGCTGTTCTGCACGTGTGTAAATCTGTGTAATGTGATGTGATGTGCGCAGGCAGCAGTGCTCAGATCAGTGAAATGAAGGAGGAGCTTGAGTTTGTCAGTCTGATCAGAATGGAAACATCCGACCACTCCTCTCTTCTTTTACTGATCATCACCGGGCCTCCCGGCTCAGAAGTCGACTCCACCTGTTTTTTTTCTGCCTGTTCCAGCAGCGCTTCAGAGAACGTCTACTCCATGATTCAGCACCCGAGGGACACTGTGAGACCGGACAGCACGGTCCCCGGGGTGAATGGGACTACGTCTTCACCTCGGCCGGCTCAGGGAGCCCCTGTTCTTGGGATAAGGGCTGCCAGCCCCCCCTGCGTGATCCAAAGACAGGTACGAGCGTGATGAAAGACATGTCCCACACATGAAGACAAACTTCCAGCCTCGAGTCTGAGCAGCTGTAGACAACATGTTTGTCCTCCAGCATGGGCTCTTCATGTTTACCCCACATGATGCACGGCCTCAGTCAGTGAAGTGTCTGCAGCGTCATCATCCCACAGTTACATACAGAGTTCTGCAGGAGAACTCTTCAGAGCTGGACAAAACTAAAGCGTAATGTGAGGAAATAAAAAATGTGTTTCTTACTCGTGCGGTGTGTTTTCAGCTTTGAAATGATGAGCGTTATGCTCCCAGCTCCAGGAGTCCCATGTGATGACAGAACCAAGCTGCATGCTGGGCCCACCACCTGCCATTATCAGCCCTTTTATATGTGTTGGATTTGTGCAGCATGTTTGAAACGTAGAATCGAAGGTCTATTTTAAATCTGTTCCCTCACACACTGAGATCAAAAAATGGGTTTTAGTGACTCAAATTGTGTCGAAGCAGCTTTCCCAGATTGAGGGGATTTATGGACTTCCTCTGCTAAATGGAAACTCTTTATTGATGAAAGTCAGATTTAGTAAGATTTGGATGAATTTTCACAATATTATTTCTGTATTCTGTTGCACTATGTCATTTATTTTAAAAAATAATTACGATGAGAGTATTTTGATGACTCGTGTCCTGATCCAGTCCACAGATCTGGTCAGCATGGTCTACAGCTGTATCGGGGCAGACATCGATGATTCTGACAGCAGCAGCACCTGTGACATCAAAGAGTCGGAGCACGGCGCTGACGGATCAAACGCCACCTCAACCGCCCCACCAGATACTCAGAGTAACGGCCATGTGGTGTCCTCCAAACAACAGACAGACAGACAGATGGAGACGGGCCGGCAGGAAAGGATTGTTCCTCTGACGGACTCATGGGTGGAGACAGCAGAGGATGCTCAGAGCTCCAGTGTTGGCAGTGGGGGCACCCGTGGGTCCAGACCAGAGCCCCCTCTGCAGAGCACCAGGCCCAGTCTGGCTGTGATGAGACAGAGACCCCCTCAGGACAGTCTAGGTACTGCGGTGGTTATGTCTTTAGACTGAGATAAACCAGAATAGAGCAGATCATCCACATAATGGTCGTTTGTTGGGTCTCCATTCAGACTGACCTCTCCTGAAGAGTTTAAAACATGCTTCAAATAAATACTTCTGTATTGCTCTAAAGGTTTTATATACTCAAATACTATGAACTGTGAGAAACTATTCATTGTCTATGACCATCAATCACCAGGGCTACACAGAGAAAAACCTTCACTAAAAAAACTAGCCTTCCTTAAGAGAATGCATATCGCCCTCTGGCGAGCAGGTCACAGTTGTCAACTGATCTTACATGATCAGTAAGTGTTCATAGCATGTGATGTGGATGACTCAGCTACTGTCTTGCCAGATTTTAGCTCAATATATTTAAAACTGATTGAGTCAAACATTTTTCTCTTTGCTAAAATTAATTAATTGTAGCAGCCATGTTTAATTACAATGACTCCAAATGCTAGATGGTTGTAAGTGACATCCAATTACTACTTTCTGAGGGTTTCATTAAAATTTGTACAGTGCTTAATGAGATATTTTGCCAACAGACGAGCACAAAGAGATGTAGGCAGACACCTGTGTTTCATAGAGACAGGTGATAATCTTGGGTCAAAGTTCAGCAGACAGGAACAGGCTAATAGAGACCACAGATGGAGTGCGGTTCTGTTTTCTATTTATATAGATGATATATAGATGATATCCACCCAAACTGCACTGCTCCTCCTGAATCCGAGGTTCGACTATCCGACGGACCCTCCTCTCCAGAACCCCCAAATAGACCTTACCAGGGAGTCTTAAGAGTGTGATCCCCCTCTAGTTGGAACACACACTACGGTCCCCCTTATTGAATAGGGGGACCACCACCCCAGTCTGCCAATCCTGGGGAACTGCCCTCGATGTCCATGCAATATTACAGAGTTGTGTAAGCCAATACAACCCCACAACATCCAGAGCCTTAAGGAAATCCGTGCGAATTGCATCCACCCCTGGGGCCCTGCCACCAAGGAGCTTTTTAACCACCTCGTGACCTCAGCACCAGAGATTGGAGGGCCCGACCCAGAGTCCCCAGGCTCTGCTTCCTTAGTGGAAGACGTACCAGTGGGATTGAGGAGGTCATTGAAGTACTCTGCCCACCGACCCACGACATCCTGAGTTGAGGTCAGCAGCACACCACCCCCACTATAAACAGTGTTGGTGGTGTACCGCTTCCCCCCCCGAGACGCCGGATGGTGGACCAGAATCGCCTCGAAGCCGTGCGGAAGTCATTCTCCATGGCCTCTCCGAACTCCTCCAATGCCTGAGTTTTTGCGTCAGCGACCACCCGAGCCATATGTTACTTGACTGCCGGTACCCATCAGCTGCTTCTGGGGTCCCACAGGCCAAAAAGGCCCGATAGGACTCCTCCTTCAGCCTGACAGCATCCCTCACCGCCAGTGTCCACCACCGGGTTTGAGGATTACCACCGAAACAGGCACGACAACCTTGCGGCCAAAGCTCAGATAAGCCGCCTCGACAATAGAGGCGCGAAACATGGCCCACTTGGACTCAATGTCCCTCGCCTCCCCCGGAACGTGTTCGAAGCTCTCCCGGAGGTAAGAGTTAAAGCTCCGTCTCACGGGAGGCTTTGCCAGACGTTCTCAGCAGACCCTCACAACACGTTTGTGTCTGCCAGGTCTGACCGGCATCTTCCCCCACCATCGAAGCCAACTCACCACCAGGTAGTGGTCAGTGGACAGCTTCGCCCCTCTCTTCACCCCAGTGTCCAAGACATGCAGCCGCAGATCAGATGAGAGGACAACAAAGTCGATCATCGAACTGCGGCCTAGGGTGTCTGGGTGCCAAGAGCATATATGGACACCCTTATGCCTGAACATGGTAGTTGTTATGGACAATCCATGACGAGCACATAAGTCCAATAACGGAACACCACTCGGATTCAGATCAGGGGGACGTTCCTCCCAACCACAACCCTTCAGGTCTCACTGTCATTGCCCACGTGAGTGTTGAAGTTCCCCAGCAGAACAAGGGAGTCCCCAGGAGGTGCAATCTCCATTACCCCCTCCAAGGACTCCAAAAAGAGTGGGTAATCTGGGCTGCTGTTTGGCGCATATGTACAAACAACAGTCAGAACCCGTCCCCCCACATGTAGGCGGAGGGAGGCTACCCTCTCGTTCATCGGGGTGAACCCCAACATACAGGCACCAAGATGGGGGGCAACAAGTATGCCCACTTCTGCTTGGCGTGTATATAAGAGGTCCTCCAGTGCAAGAGTTGGGGGTTTGATTCTACCAGCATTCACATGTTGAAGTGTCCCTGAACAAGACACTGAACCCCTCATTGCCTCTGATGTGTGTCCCATCAATGTATGAATGTGATAAAGCTCTGATTATTTTTTGTACAGATCTAGTAGGGTGCTGTATGAATGGGTTAATGAGGACACAGATTCTGTTGTAAAGTACTTTGAGTATCTTGACAAGATAGAAAGATGCTATATCAGTGAAATCCATTTAACATTTATTTTGTTTGTTTGTTGGTTGAGCAGTAGCTGCCAAAATCTTTTATCAAAGTTTTATCTGTCTGTGAATGAATGGGTATTTGTTAGGCCGAGACTCGGACTGCCCCCTCTTTGATACAACTGGGGGTGCTTGGCATCGCGCCCCTATCGCGCGGCCCCCTGGTGGGGTGTTCCCTTGCCTGCCGGCGCGCTTGGGGCCCTTGGTGTCGGGGGCTGGGCGCTTGGGCGTGTGTCGGCTCGGCCTGGTGTCTGCCTGGTGGGGCTCGGGTCCTCTGGCCCTGTCGGGCCTTGGCCTGGGTGGTGTTCGTCCTCGGTGCCCGGGCCTGGAACTGCATCGGTGCGGCGGGTTCCGGCGGGGGCCTATGAGTTTGTCGCTGTTGGCCCCGGGTGGTCAATGCATGTGGTCGCTGATGGGGATCTTCCGGTTCTCCCCTGTGGTCCGATCTGGGGGGTGGGTGAGTGGTTCGTCCTGTGTGGGTGGCCCTGGGGTCTCTCCTGGGGTCTTGGGCTCTGGTCCCCCCTTTTTTGTCTGCCTCTGGTCTTGGGGGTCGGGTCTCTGCTGCTTCACGGTTACTATTAAATGTTCTAGTAGAGAAGCCTTATACACTTATGCATGCTCACAACCACACACAAATGGATGCAGGGATGCTTATGTAGGCTTTATATGTAGATATATAGATATATAGATATGTATGTGAATGTATATTCATGTGTATGTATGTATGTATGTATGTATGTATGTATATAGGCTTAGGTATGGGTATATATATTTATGGAAACTTACTGCAAAGCCATGAATATTTTAATTTCTTTATACATATGTATTTTGTTGCTGTGTTTTGTCATGTTCTTTGCAGGTGAACAGACAGTGGCCGGATGTTTTGCCGTGTGCTCTCTTTGTGTATATTTCTTATATTTTGGAGTCTTACTTTGTCTTATCTTTCTTTCTATCCTATTAAAAAAAAAAAAACTACACTAGATAATCACTAGAATAAATATTTCATAATAATGGTGTGGAGAGGATGGCTGTAAGGGGAGAAGGGAGGCCATCCAGAAAAAAAAAAAGTTTTATCTTAGTCAGAAATAACTACAGGTTTTTATTTCAAATGACTCTAGAACTAAAACTCTAGTAAAAGTAGAAGTAACTGAATGTTTGATGAGGCCGAAGGGATGGTTTATATAAATGTGTAAATGACTTCATTGCACAGTTTATCATTGAATCCTCTCTGCAGCTCAACCACAGACTGAACTTCTCCTTTTATCATATCTCTGGTTTTAAACAGCAAGAACAAAAATGTTTTATTTGTTGATTTTATTCCTACTCCGAGTCTTTAAGGCTGCTCCTGTTTCTACTTTGACACCATCAGTTTTATTCTGTATTTCTTTCTGCTGGTTTTTAACTGTGTTGTTGTTTTCAGAAATGGCAGGAAATCTGGAGGGAGAAGACCAAAGTGAAATGCAAGAAGAGAAGAACAGAGGCCGAGGACCAGAGGGACAGCGTCCTCTCATTCCCAAAAAGGTCTGTTTGCTGTTTGGACTAAGGAGTAAGAAAAACATTTAGCTGCCACTTGTGTTGAGCTGCAGGCTGCACAACATGACATGTTGTCCTCATCAGCCCAGCATGGACCTCCAGAGCGACAGGACCTCTCTGGAAAAGACCAAGGCTTCACCCAAAACCTCGTCTGCCGGTCCAGAGGAGCAAAGCAGCGAGTGGAGGCGTTCTCCTGCTGGGCCTGTCCCTGCAAACAAGGGGTCCGATGAGGAGGGGAGTCCATCAGCATGTGGGACGCCCGTCTCAGAGGCAGCAGAGCCTCTCCTCAGTCATGGTACGCTCATCATGTCCTTCAAATGCAACTCCGAGCTCGGGCTGCAGACATTTTGGTTTTGGGTTTAGCTGAGGACAGTTGTCAGTGTTTCCCCTAGATAACTTGCCATGGCGGGGCGCTCATCTCGTCCGTGATTTTTGTCGGGGGGAGGCTGGAATGGAGACTTGTCCTCAGTGCGCTGTTTAAACCAACAGTTTTGGGGGACACAGAGTAAACCAACAGTTTTGGGGGACACAGAGACAGCTGCGTGCTGTTTGTACTGACAGTTTTAGAGCTGGGTGTGTGAGAGGAGAGAGACAGACATATCTCAGCCGCGCGCTGTCTGAACAGACAGGTTTGGGCGGGGGGGGGTCGGTGCGGGGGAGAGACAGACGCACATCTGAGCCGCGCTCTATCTGAACAGACAGGTTTGGGGGGGGGGGGTCGGTGCGGGGGAGAGACAGACGCACATCTGAGCCGTGCACTGTTTGTTCCGACAGTTTTCGAGTGGCGGGGCTGCGTTCAGCGTGAGGGTTCAACTTGAAGGAAGAGGCTGCCTTTAGCTTTTTAGCTAGTGCACCTGCATTGCAAGCCGCTAGTTTAGCGTTACATCAGTGCAGACAAGTGGCTGGGGTTTGGGGGTGGGGTTCGGTAGACGGTTCTGTTGATGGGGCGGGACGCCCCGCTTGTATAATGGTAGGTGAAACACTGGTTGTCTTTTTCTGAATGTTTCAAGCTGAAGCTCAGTTTCTGTTTCTGCTCTCGGTGATGTCAGTAAACTGTATGAGATGATGGTTGTGATTAATCTTTCAACAACCACAGGTGAGGACAGAGGACGGAATGGGTTTCCATCGTCTCGTCACACCAGGAAGTCCAACTCCCTGGACACAGGTCAGTCCCATGTGGACGTGTGCCGTCCAACTCAACATTCAACTTCTATTTGTTACCCAACATTAGAACTTTTGATCAAATGAAATCAGCACGAGTCCGTCTCCCTTCTTTTGAGTCCTCCCACACACCGTGTGCGAGTGTGTGTGTGTCACCCCCCCACCCCCAGGCATGGGGCAGGACAATGAATACTGATGAAGCCTTCTGGATGGAAGGTGAAACATTTCAGCACACACAAAAAAAGAAACTGTCCAGATGACCCGACTGAAAATTGTTGGATTGTATACCTGGATTATTGAGCATGGACTTTGTTGTGATTTGGCGCTATATAAATAAACTGAATTGAATTGAAGCGGGCAGCACGGTGGTGCAACTGGTAGAGCTGCTGCCTCTCAGTGAGCAGGTCACTGGTTCAAACCCCAGTCCAGGGGCCTTTCTGGGTGGAGTTTGCATGTTCTCTCCGTGCATGCGTGGGTTTTCTCCAGGTACTCCAGTTTCCTCCCACAGTCCAAAAACATGCATGTTAGACTGATTGGTAATTCTAAATTGTCCCTAGGTGTGAGTGAGAGAGTGAATGGTTGTTTGTCTTGTTTGTCTCTATGTGTCCCTGTGATGGACTTGCGACCCGTCCAGGGTGTACCCCGCCCCTCGCACAGTGATTGCTGGACATGGGCACCAGCGACCCCCGTGACCCAAAATGGAATAAGCGGGTAAAGAAAATGGATGGATGAATTGAATTGAATTAATTTCAGCTTATTTCTGCAAGTTCAGCTACCATATAGCTGTTTTATACTAATTTAAGCTTTTTCAGCTAATTTCACATTTTTTGCACTCATTTCAACTTTTTCAATACAATACAACTTTATTTATAAAGCACTTTAAAACAACACCGTTGGCCAAAGTGCTGTACACTAACACATACAAGCATAAAAACTATGAACTCAATAAATACCATAAAATACCATCAGCCTAACTGAGCAAAAATGTGCTCTCTCCACTTCCTTCTGGTAATTTTAGCTTCTTTCTGTTCTTTTAGATACTTTTCAGCAGTTTTTTTTTTTTTTTTATAATTTCCACTTTTCTGTGCTATTTTTTTCTTCTTTCGGTCTAATTGGGCAAATGTGTACTTTCTAATAAACTTCTTTCTGCTAATTTCAGCTTTCCTTTCAGATTTTTCTGCTAGTTTTAACATTTTCTGCTATTTAGCTACTTTTTAGCCATTATGTGCTAAATTTAGCTTTGTCAGCTAATTCTATATGTTTTAGCTCATTTCAGTTCCTTCCACTTCCTCCTTGTAGTTTAAGCTTCTTTCTGCATTTTCATCTATTTTGTTGCTAATTTCAGCCTTTTTAGCTAATTTCCTAATTTTTGAACTCATTTCTGATTATTTAAACCTAATTCAGCAAATATGGGTTCTTTCTGCTTTATTCTGCTAATTTAGGCTTGTTCTTACATTTCAGCATGTTTTAGCTAATTTAAGCTTTTTTTCAGCCAGTTCTTCCTAAGCTGAATATTCATTGCATTTTTGCAGGAAATGCACTTTCTCTAGTTATTATTATCATTACCTTATAGGGACATCTGATTCATAAAAAGAGGATTTATTGAAGAAAAAAAAGAAGGAAAAGAAAAGACATTTGAAAAATAAAACCTCAGGAAGTCAGACCACCTCTGGAACAAAAGCCTTTCCTCTGATTAAATTCAAATCAATCTTCTAAAAAGGCTCTGGTGTCAGAGGAAGAGATCATGTGACAGCACGTATGAACCCCAGCGATGCTGCAGGGATAAACATCAGTTTACAAAGAAGCAACAAAGAAGCCTGGTCAGTTCTGACTCTCATGGCCACACACATTTTTTGAAGGACTGCAACCATCCGTCATGTTGCACATCATATTTTTAAGCAAAGATCTCATAAGATCAGATATATTTTACTAACAGAAAGAGAGAGGTGGCAGGACAGAAACATTCAGTAAAAGTCTGATAAAGCCCTTCTTTGTTAATGTTTATGACTTCCACACATCAGTGTTTATTGTCTGGAGCCATAATAGTGAAAATAAACATATTTTTTATTTGCTCCAATAATTGCCACTCAATGAAAAACAAAGTTCTGCACAATAAAGAGCTTTTATTTTGAAATGCACTTCTTCATACATATGTGCACTTCAGAATCATATTTCTTAATATGACGGCTACATATTTTATTTTTTATGGATTTTCTCACCTTTGCCTCATGTCTGATCCTTTCACTGTAATGTAAAGCGAGCAGCCGTGCTGACGTTCCACCTTGTTCTGCAGGTTCTGAGGGTGGGAACAGAGACGCGTTATGACGTTTCCTGAGGACGGAGAGGAGGCTGCTGGGAAAGGCTGACTGGATCACAGAGACCTGGAGCGAGACCAGCTTTTAAAACTGTGTGGACTCAAATGAAAAAGCTTCAACAACAGATTTAATTTTTTCTTTTAATTAATTTCTTGCAGAACATGCATGTTCCGTGCACCTTCATGTTTCTATGAACTGCTTGCACTAATTATGGTTTTCTCTTGCACAAGGAGAAGCTCTGAGTTTCTTTAAAACTCACTCAGTGTTTGGTTTTTCCAGTCTGCTTCTTATGAACCACTGTTTTAACCAGTTAGTTGAAACATCTTTCCATCCCCTCCCTGTCTTTTGCTGACAATCTGTGACTACTTATGTGAGTTTGTACTGTATTTATTCTAACCACATGTAGATAATGACTATAAAAGTGCACTAACCATTGAGGTAACTAGGTAACAATCATGGTTTAAATTTGTGATAATGTATCATTTGATATCTGTGATACTGTGAGTATGCTTTTGGTGTATGTTGATGATTGAGAAAAGTGTTCCCATTCCTTCAAGAGGATTAAATCAGTCAGTGGCTTGTTTTAATCTGGTTTTTAGAGCCTGAAAATGAGTATATTTTCTCAAGACGCTTCTACGGATCAGAGTAAATAAAATTAACTTAACAGAAGGAAGTAGGCTGGTTTCATTTATTATTTATACTTATATGTTTTACTGTTGGACTGACATACATTTTCAAAACAAGATGAACTTTAATAAAGAAGAACTTGCTAAACGGAAAGTTATGAAGTACTGTATATGGAATCACACGAGGGCCATAAAATAACAAAAAAATCAACTAACAATCAAACCACTTTTTGCATAGGATGAGCTCAAACATTAAGAGTTTAACATGGGTTTTCCTGAACTCTTTCAAACAGTGCAGTTAGGAAGATTTTACTCCTGTAGTCTTCCAAGTGTTGATGTGCTGTTCTGAAATGTGGGTACGCACTCAATGTAAACAAAACCCTCAGATGAATCTGATAAAACAACACAAGGAAGCTTGAGTCCTAAGCTAACCTGCATTCTGCTGGCTGTGGTCTGTGGAGGTAAACAAACAGGAAGTGGACCAGCGGAGAACGAAGCACCTGAGTTCTGCTGCTGAACACGACATCAATAAAAAAGAATGAGGAAAACCACAGTCAAGAATAAAAACCCATACATCCATCATCTTTACCCGCTTCTTCTTTTTTCAGTCACGGGGGTCGCTGGTGCCCATATCCAGCAATCACTGTGCAAGAGGCGGGGGACACCTGGACGGGTCGCAAGTCCATCACAGGGACACATGGAGACAAACGAGACAAACAACCATTCACTCTCTCACTCACACCTAGAGACAATTTAGAGTTACCAATCAGACTAACATGCATGTTTCTGGTCTGTGGGAGGAAACTGGAGTACCAGGAGAAAGCCCACGCAGCAAGGAGAGACCATGCAAGCTCCACCCAGAAAGGCTCCCGGCCAGGTTTTGATCCGGCGGCCTCACTGAGAGGCGGCAGCCCTACCAACTGCACCACAATGCCACAAATAAAAATCCAGGGAGTATACAGTACTTGAACTCATCATGAGGAGTTATGAACGAAAAGTTAAAAAGTTTAAAATTATGAACAGAATCTGTGTCAACGAGCAGCTCTGGCAGAGTCCAACTCCCACCCTGAAGAGGTTCCACTTACTGGCGGCAATGTGAACCAAACTCTTGCACCGCTTGTATACGGACTGAACAGCCCATAGCAATGGGCCCCCAATACCATACTCACGGAGCACCACCCACAGTGTACCCCGAGGAACGCGGTCGAATGCTTTCAAGTTCACAAAACATGTAGACTGGATGGGAAATCCATCCACCACCAAGTTCGAGGATGGCCACCACGAGAAGCACCGACAGCCTTGTGGCCACAGCTCCAGACAGCTACCTCAATAAGTGAGGTGAGGGAGCATGGCCCACTCGGACTCTTCCAGTTGTTCCCAGCAAACCCTCAATACACGTTTGGGTCTACCGGGTCTGCCCAGCATCTTACCCCACCATTTGATCCAACTCACCACCAGGTGGTGATCAGGTGACAGCTCAACTTCTCTCTTCACCTGAGTGTCTAAAACAAAATGGCTGCAAATCAGATGACACGACTGTCATTAAAACGATTTATATCCTAGGGCGTCCTGATGCCAAGTGCATATGGACACGTATGTGTGTCCACATGCACTCGCATGTTCGAACAAGGTGTTTGTGATGGGCAGACTGCGACTAACACAGAAGTCCAACAACAAAGCACCGCTCGGGTTCAGATCAGAGAGGCTGTTCCTCCCATCACGCCTCTCCAGATCACACTGCTGTTATCCACATGGGCATTGTCCCCCAGAAGAATAAAGGAGTCCCCTGCTTGCGCACCTTCCAGCACCCCTTCTAAAGACTCCAAGAAGGCCGGATACTCCAAACTGTCATTTGGTGCGTAGGCACAAACAACAGTCAGAGCCCGTGTCCCAACTGAAGGCACATGGAAGCCACCCCCTCATCTACCGGGGAAAACTGCAACACACAGACACCAAGTCAGGGGCTAAGAGTAGACCCGCACCAGCTCGACTCCTCTCCCCATGGGCAACTCCAGAGTGGAACAAGGTCCAGCCCCTCTCAAGGAGATTAGTTCCAGAGCCCATGCTGTGGGTCGAGGTGAGCCCAGCTACATCTAGTCAGTACCTCTCAACCTCGTGTACAAGCTCAGGCTCCTTCCCCACCAGAGAGGTCACGTTCCATGTCCCAAGAACCAGCTTTGGTAAGCCAGGGTCAGAACACTAAGGTCCCCGCCTTCAGCCACTGTCCATGGATTCATGCACCCGACTCATAAGACCCCTGCTGCAGGTGGTGGACGCACAGGAAGGTATATCCATATGTACAATTTTATATTCATAAAAAATAAAGTTGCAGGTCTCCGTTGTGCTGCAGCTGAGAGGAGCAATTAGATAGATGTGGTAAATGTAAAAATAATTCTGACATGATTTGACATGAAAGCTCAGACACTGCTGGTTTAGTCCTTGTTTCAGTAGCTGCTACAGAATCATTGTTGAAGAAAAGACACCGTAAAGTTGTGAGGCATTTCAAACTCAGCTTCTGTCCAGTTCCATAAATGACACTTAGTGTCTTTTCTGCTCAGTCTAATGATGACAACACTTGGTCATGCCTGTTCCTACATTATAGCTGGTATGTGTTAGAAGATGTTTCATAGTTGGCTCTGGTTTATACAAGAAACATTTATTATCCAGAAGTGTGAGAGCTCCAGCAGATATACCAATAGCTGAGAGTTCAAATGACTTACAGTTTAGTGTTTGTGTTTCTTGAATACATGTTTCTTCACGGGCCCGACTTGTCAGCTCTTAACTAAATAATCTGCTGCGCATGGCCTTCATTCCCAGACACTGAATCTCATGGATGTTCCACGTACGTGGCTGAAAACTAAAGGGGACAGGGCCTTTCAGTCAGTGGCCTGTGGAACAGTTTGCCCGTACAGCTTTGTTTTGCTGACTCTGTGGAGGTTTTTAAAAAGCAGGCTCATTCACCCAGGCTTCTATGTCATGGTTTTATTGTTCTTCTTATGCTCGTTTTATTCTTTGTATATTTTAGAGTTGATTTTTATTGTACAGCGCTTTGTGATTTTATGTCTGTGATAAGCGCTCCATAAAAAAACTTTACTTCCGCCTTGCAGCAGGTGGCAGCAGAGACTGCATCCTCCTGGCCTAAAACACCAAGTCACAGTTCAGCTGACATGTTTTGCTGCCAAGTCACACTGCACCATCATTAGGATCATCATGGATCCCAGCCACAGATCCAGCTGACGACGATTATTTTAATTATACAGTGCCTTGCAAAACTATTCGGCCCCCTTGAACTTTTCAACCTTTTGCCACATTTCAGGCTTCAAACATAAAGATATAACATTTTAATTTTTGTGAAGAATCAACAACAAGTGGGACACAATCGTGAAGTGGAATGAAATTTATTGGATGTGTCAAACTTTTTTAACATAAAAAACTGAAAAGTGGGGCGTGCAATATTATTCGGCCCCTTTACGTTAATACTTTGTAGCGCCACCTTTTGCTGCAGTTCCAGCTGCAAGTCTCTTGGGGTATGTCTCTATCAGTTTACACATGGAGAGACTGAAATTCTTGCCCATTCTTCTTTGCAAAACAGCTCGAGCTCAGTGAGGTTGGATGGAGAGCGTTTGTGAACAGCAGTCTTCAGCTCTTTCCACAGATTCTCGATTGGATTCAGGTCTGGACTTTGACTTGGCCATTCCAACACCTGGATATGTTTATTTGTGAACCATTCCATTGTAGATTTGTCTTTATGTTTTGGATCATTGTCTTGTTGGAAGATAAATCTCCGTCCCAGTCTCAGGTCTCTTGCAGACTCAAACAGGTTTTCTTCCAGAATGGTCCTGTATTTGGCCCCATCCATCTTCCCATCAATTCTGACCATCTTCCCTGTCCCTGCTGACGAAAAGCAGGCCCAAACCATGATGCTGCCACCACCATGTTTGACAGTGGGATGGCGTGTTCAGGGTGATGAGCTGTGTTGCTTTTACGCGAAACATATCGTTTTGCATTGTGGCCAAACAGTTCGATTTTGGTTTCATGTGACCAGAGCACCTTCTTCCACATGTTTGGTGTGTCTCCCAGGTGCTTGTGACAAACTTTAAACAACACTTTTTATGGACATCTTTGCGAAATGGCTTTTTTCTTGCCACTCTTCCATAAAGGCCAGATTTGTGCAGTGTACGACTGATTGTTGTCCTATGGACAGACTCTCCCACCTCAGCTGTAGATCTCTGCAGTTCGTCCAGAGTGATCATGGGCCTCTTGGCTGCATCTCTGATCAGTCTTCTCCTTGTTCCAGATGAAAGTTTAGAGGGACGGCCGGGTCTTGGTAGATTTGCAGTGGTCTGATACTCCTTCCATTTCAATATGATTGCTTGCACAGTGCTC